TGTGTATATATATATATATATATATATACACATACATACACATCGCAATACCAATATCTGTCCTGGTTGTCAGCTTATTGTCATAACGGATAATGTCTGTGGTAATAGCACCCAAATGTGTTGTGGATATCCCATCTATCAGACAAAATCCAAACACCGATGTCAATCTAGTTAGCCGTCGAGAATAATAATAAAATCATCAATCCAACGTCTCAGCTTCTACTGCCTTTCACTGTCTATAGCCAGTTGTGGGAAGATAGTTACTCTTAAATTTCTTGAAGTAGAAATGAAGCTACCCTAATATTTTTATTAATTAAACTCCCAACCTCCACCTTTACAAAAAGAAGAAAAAAAAAGATATTGAGTAGAACAATAAGATATTAAATAGAACTATAACATACTAAATACATAGCCCCCAGTGGCACAGCGGTATGTCTGCGGAGTTACAACGCTAGAAACCGGGTTTCGATACCCGTGGTGGGCAGAGCACCTATAACCCTTTGTGCTTAATAACAAACAAACAATACTAAAAATAAGATATTAAATAGAACTATACACCCTACCTTAAAAGTTCTAACTCCCTTTCTCCTGAAGATTTATTCAAATATAACACGAGACAAGCCCAGCTACTTGAAGTTAGTCTTTCCGTCCCGGTTATACTGAATAAAATAACTAACTACCTCTAGATTTTATCTACAAGATATTTTCCTTAATCGGTAGTTTAGTTTCTAAAATATTCTTGTATTTATTTTAAAAATAATGTATTTCTTTAATTGCCTGTTTATTTTTTAATAATTAAATATTATCCATAAAAAAATATAGTTATTACACACTATTAAGAACCACTTTAGTTGAGATATAATAATACCTTTTAACATGATACACGGAATAACACTGTTAGGTGTGGGTAGACCAAGAATGGGAAAAATTTATCAAATATAGCCAACTGTACTGTACCTTCTATAAAAGTAATGTCCAAATCTAAATAATTAGCACAGACTTCATTATTATTATTACTTCTTTCTGTTGGATATATTAGGTTTGGTGTAAAATTCATATTATTTATAGTTATTAAATCATCTATGTAACGGAAAGTGTAAATGTATAAGTTAGGATTTAAAGTCTGCTTCATAGGTTGGCCATATTTGAAGAGACGTTCATTCCTATTGGAATACCCACCGTTTGTTTGTATACTTGTTCGTTAAAAACAATATAACTGTTATAAATACAGAAATGGAGTATACTTTTACATGGAATTGTAGTAAATTTAAATTTGGGTATAGTTACTTCATAATTTATAAAGTTATCAAACAAATCATTGAAAACCCTGATTAAATCTTTTAGGTCTATTTTAGTATACAATGTAGTAAAGTCATATGTAAAAATAGAACTGGTATATCAGTACACAATGCAGTAAAGTCATATGTAAAAACAGAACTGGTATTTCAGTATACAATGTAGTGAAGTCATGTAAAAATAGAACTGGTATTTCAGTATACAATGTAGTGAAGTCGTATGTAAAAATTGAACTGGTATTTCAGTATACAATGTAGTAAAGTCGTATGTAAAAATAGAACTGGTATTTCAGTATACAATGTAGTGAAGTCGTATGTAAAAATTGAACTGGTATTTCAGTATACAATGTAGTAAAGTCGTATGTAAAAATAGAACTGGTATTTCAGTATACAATGTAGTGAAGTCATATGTAAAAATAGAACTGGTATTTCAGTATATAATGTAGTAAAAGTCATATGTAAAAATAGAACTAGTATTTCAGTATACAATGTAGTGAAGTCATATGTAAAAACAGAACTGGTAGTTTTTGAAGAATTTAAACATTCCAAAACTGCATGTTATTTATAATTATTCTGGTTATTTGAAGACTATTTTTTTTCAAACAAGATATCTAGAATATTGTTAAGTACTATGGAAACAGATTTAATGATTGTAGTTAAAGAATCAGTAATAAATCTGAACTTCACAGGAGTAATCTGTATGGATAATCTATTTTTTAATAACCTTCTTTAAATTGGTAATAATATTAGTTTTCTTTAACGTACTTGTGGTATTAATTTCATTATATAAAATTTGTGCGTATAATTTTTAAACACAAAACCGAAACAACAGCCAGCTTTATCAGTCAGAGTAATAAGGAATTGTTTCTGAATTTATTTTATTTTTAAAGACATTGCAATAAATATCTAATTTATAACAAGATAAGTTTAAAGTTCTTTATAATCAGT